TTGATTTTTATACTAAATATTCTGAGTACATACATTATATTTGATATTCATAAAATGGATAGTTAAATTTTAAAAAATAAAAAAAATATGAATTAGAAAAAAATCAACAAAAAGCAATAAAGAGTAAATAAAATAATTTATTTATTTATTGTTTAAAAAATTTTTTTTTCTATAAAGTTTTTAGATTCTAAACTAAACTCTCACAAAAGTCTTCGCTTTTATCTTAAGTAATATTTTATTTCTTATTTTATTATATCTTAAATCAATTTAAATACTAATTCATTATGGAATAAAAATAGCTTTTGAAATAAGATATTAATTTTTTTAAATTGTTAATTCTTTAATCGTTTTTTTCATTTAATTATCTTTTTTTATTTTTGAATAATTACTAAATTTGTTTTCTATTATAAAAAATAAGCATTTTTTACAAAAATTCTTAATAAATTAATAACTTTTAAGTTTTTATAAATAACTTAAAATGCATGTAATTATTATATTCTTTATTTAATAAAAGGAAAAACAAAATCGGCGATAAAGGGGCTTCAACATTAGGTGCTTATTTAGGAAACTGCCAAAGTGTTTAAGCATTAAATCTTAATATGAGGTAGATAATATTGATAGATATATTTTTTAAATAAAAAAAAGATAAAGAAAAATTTAAACAAGTTTAATTAATATCTAAAAGCTATAAAAATTATTTTATAATACAAATTAATATATTTATTTTTTACTTTTACTTTTATAGTAAAACAATTTAATAATAGTTTAATATATAATTTAAAATATTTAAAAGGCATAATCTCATTAATATTTAGAAATTTTCAGACTTATGTGTTGCTTTTACAAAATGCCAAAAACTAGAAAAATTAATTCTTAGCCTGTAGTAAGATGCTTATAGAAATTTATTTTCTCTTCTAATTTCTTTTATTTATTTATTTATTTATTTATTTATTTATTTATTTTTCATTATTAAAATAAATAAATTCATTTGAAAATCTTAAAGCTATTTTTTACAAATTATTTTAATGATTTATTTTTTTATTTATCTAACTATTTATTAAAATAAAATATTTTTTATTTTTTAATTTCTTTTCTTTATAATTAATATATTTAAAGACATAATAATTTAGGTGATTAAGGAGGATTAGAATTAGGTTGTGCTTTAGCAGATTTCTAAAATCTTTCTTCTTTATCTCTAAAATTTGGGTAAATAATTAATTTTATCTTTGTATTATAAGTCTTTTTTCTTGTTTCCCTTTTTATCAATAAAAAATCTAAAATAAGGAAAAATTTATGTTATTTTATGAAAATTATTCAAAAAAAAAATTATTATCAAATAATAAATAGGTATTAATATAAAAATAATGTTCGATAAAACAAATCAGATTTTGATAATCCTCAAAAAAATGAATAGAATAATACTTCTACATTCAATCTTTAGTAAATATTTGATTATTAGAAATCATTTAATTAATTCCTACAATGTTATTTTATTTAGATTTAAAATATTTCTTCATTTTACTTATTTATTTTGTAAAAATTATTAATTGATTTTAATTTGATAGA